ATCTGTCTAATAACCCCCCTGACTGGGGACTATGAACTCTAGTAGATACTTCTGGAAACACTAAACAGATCCAAACAAGCTGCAGCAGAACCAGGAACAGGGCCTGGATCTCCAGCCTTGCCTCTTAATCACAAGACCTTTTATCATTCTTGTTCAGTTCAGGGATTTAAACAGGACCATTTTATAAATTGATGGACAGCTACCACATGGGTACAAACTTTCTCATCAAGGATATTTTGATAACTGAAAAAAACAGCTCCACAGTTTTCCAGTAATTGTTTTATTTACTTTTTTTGTTCTGGGTAAATCTGCGGTAAGCCCGTGATGTGATCACAACTCATCATAACAAGCACAACTTTCCACGGTGCAGAAACAGATGAGGACAAAATCTCCACTCAGGCAGTGTCAGAATCAGCTGCAGAACTTGTCTGCCTCGCCCTTTGCTCATTTGCCTGCAAACTCTGCTGCACATGAGTCGACTCCAGAAGTGCTGGGTGCCATGGGGTTAATGGACTCAGCCACCAAGATTCAGCAGCCAAACAGAGATGGGTGTCAGACCCCTCTGTATAACCCCCAGAGTTAAACCCAGACTTGGGAAAGGGAATCTGTGCCAATGAGAGAGAGATAAAACTTAACTAAACATGCCTCTAGTGTTAAGGGCCTCAATCAAGATAATAATGCTTTCCATTTCGTAACTACAGGTTTTATTTTACTTTAGCACCTCTTTATTAAACTCTTTGCTTCTCAAGTTCTGAAATGGAAATAATCCAGCTTTTGAAAGTAGTGATAAAAAGGTCTCCATCACTGAAGAGCTGAAGCCATGGACATAAAGAAGTATGCTAGCTATGTAGCACACATTTTAACTTTGTATTTTTATGTGCTAATGGTACTGGTTTTCAATGGTATAGGTGCTTTGGAGACCTTTGTCACCTCTCTCAGTCCAAATTATCATGACCTAACAAAAATAAAATCTATATCTGAAATAAAAAATTCCTAGTTGTTCAGTCTTTCAAAAGACTAGAGAAGATTACAATGAACAGGAATAATTCTTCTCTGGCAGGGAGATGAACTAGGTAAATGAATCAGTCCTTTCTGTATCTAATTTCTATGATCGCAAGGCATGAACACTCTGACCAAGCAATTTACATTGATTTACAAGTATAATTCATAAATCTGTGGGATCATACATCAGGATTTCGGATCAGCTTAAATAATGTGTATAAATACATTTTCACTTTATTTGTTAATGTGTTGCAAATGAGGATATAAATCTGACGTGAGCACAAGTTTACCTTGTTTTATTCACTTAAAATGACAATCACTCCCATACAAATGTCTAGCAGGGGACTACAGCACAGGCTTTACTCTGCTCTTTAACCCAGGCTCAAACCTGCAAACTAAATTTGAATCATTTACTTGTCTTCTGAGATATTTCCTCTTGACTGCTTTCTTCCTTTAAGAAAAAGATGCATTCTGAGGACCAGATCCTCAGCTATAATCCAACTAGGGCATCCTTCAGCTTTGTTCATCATCTTCAATAAAGTTATGCTAGCTCTCAGCATCTGAGGATTCGAGGTGAAATTTTTGTTCCAATTATATCAATGAGAGTTTTCCTATTGAATTAGAGGATTTCATCCTTGGCCTTTCTATGTATACACATCTTTTTAAGACTGAAGTGATATACAACAGCTCTGTATAACATGCATGTAGCAGATCCTTTTATGGAAAGCGCAGAAAGCTCTTCAGACAGTGCACATCCTGTTTCCTCCTGAACAGTTTCTGAATGTTTATAAAACAAAATATAGGATGAGTTATGTCAAAGACTCATATAAATTTTCAACACTTATAAATATTTTGGACATAAATTAACATTTAAAATTTCTTTAAGCCTATCATGCCAGCCGTAGTCTAGCTTTATTATCAGCTAGCACATAGAAAGCCTTTTTTTTTTTTTTTTTTTTTTTAGTTTTAAGAGTCCTCTTTGCCTGTGATCATATTTTTGAACCAAGGGTTTCACATAAAACCAAAATGACAGTGGACATTTAACAGGAAAGGACTGAAGCAATAAATGTCCAAAGAGCAGCTGGATCCTGTTTCAGCCTGCATGAGCTCCACCAAGTAATTGACAGTCTTATTGCCTTTCCATTTTACACAAAACTACAGTAAAAGAGTGGTTTCTTCTGGAAGCTATTCCATGTGGAATGTAACTCATATTCTGGGCAGAGTGATACTTTATTTGAACAGCCGACGGTGGCTCCATGGGTGTATATTTTGAGAGAAATTTAGTTGTGGAAATTAAAGACAGAAAAATTACATGTAGGACCCAGTTCCACTCAAATCTGTAACAGTTTTTCTATCTGCTTCCATGGGAGTTGGATCAGGCCTTCTGGGGGGAAACCCTGGTTCATCTTCTTTCAGCCAAGAATCTTCAGGACTGCACTCACAGGAGATGCTTAGGGAGTCCTGTATCAGGACTTGTTTATCAGGTAGTGTTAACCTGAAGCTGCTTATTAAAGTAAAACACCTTGCATGTTTTATATTATAAATTTTATATTTATTTTTGAGCTGCAGTGTGCTTTTCACCCCTGTTCTTCTGCTGGTCACATTTCTAATGTGGCAAGAGCAAGGACTTGATCCAGCACCACCAAACACGTGGAAGCCTGAGGTCAGTGAGTGTTTAAGACCTATAAACATTTACACATGCTTAAACCTCTGAAGGTTTCAACAACCTCCCTCCCTCCCTAATTTCAACACCTGGAAGAATCAAAGCGAGCTGGGGGAGAAACAAGCCCCACAAATTTTCACCTCTGCGCTCCTGCTTATATCTCATTACTTCTGCTAATTTATGCCACAAAGCATAAAGTAAACCCAGTGTTCCAAAGGAATATAAATGACATAATTTAATGTGACTAAGAGATATACAGATGGCACTGCATTTCCTCCACAGTGTGGAGAGGTCAGGCAGCAATTGGCTATAACACAAACTAAGCTAATACAGAGTTACAAGCTGCCAGATCTTGGTCCCTCTTACTAACAGCCTATGCTATGTGAAGTAATTGAACATGCAGCAACTTAAGTTAGGGACAATGTTGGAAAATGTCAGTGCTGCAGCTTGAAATATCTTGATATTAATAGAAAATATTTTAGGAGGTTTTAATGATGGAAGGTTCAGAGGGAAAAGTATTTTGGGTGAGCGTGCCCAGATCTGCAGCTCATCTACTACAGTAGTTTAGTCTTACCTCCTTTAAGAAAACTGCAAAAATAAATCTTGAAATTAAAAAAAAAAGCCACTTCTATTGTTCATTCTGACATGCAAAAACAAAGTTAATAATGCCTTATTATTGCAGTGTCTCTAGTTTTTCTCTACTTTTCAGTGTCCACAATACAAGCAGTAACACAAATACAAAACCATCTCGTTTCTAGTATAAATTCTCTCTCTGGACCCAATTCTAAGGGAACTGAACCTCATAATTTTTCAAACCAGAAACTCCATACAAACCATTCTATGACTCTTACAAAAGTTTCTGACCAGCCTTTTTTGCTTCAGAAATGTAAAAAATAGGCTTTAAAGCTGCTCCATCCATTCAGGTAAGGGAAGCTCTACCTCAGGACAAACTCTCAAGGAAGGCAAGCCCAAGGAGAGGGAAAGAAGAAGGTTTAACACTACAGATGGCCACGAGGATGTCCTTAGGGGAGGCTACAAAATACAATAATAAACAAGCACTTCCCTGAGAAAGAAATGCAGGTTAAAATGGGAATATATTTAGATACAGTGCAATCACATCTTGATTACTGCCTGCTCTCCTGTCTCCTTCCATGCCCCACAGGAGGATCAGCCAGGACACCACGAGGAACTCCTGTCGTTCCTGGAGTTATGAAACATTTGATTCACGAGATTCAGTGAGGTTGAATAAATGCCAGGTAAAACTCAAATATTTTCTGAAATAATTAGACTGCTTCACAGCCACATTTGCAACTTCTTACCTGCAATTTTGTAAACATTGACAAACACATACAATAATAGCAAAGTTTTTTAGATAAATACCATCAAATAACTCCCTAATGGTTACTCAAACCACGCTATAAAGTTATGTACAGTTTACTCGTGCAAAAGGAGTAATTTTCATGCTCCTTTAAAAGACAGAGGAGCCCTCCTGCATGATTAGATCGTTCTAATTTTGAGTAACAGTTGGAAATAAAAATATATTTTCCAAGTCATTCAGGCAAGAAGTGTGGGCAGTGTTACACACCCGAAGAGTGGGTGGCAGATGAAATTTATGAGCAGAACATATGCTGCTCTCTCAAAAATCAATGCAAGCCGCCTGCTTTCGTGTGCCAGAGCAAAGTCCTTTAGGCACCTGGGCTACCAAACTTCACCCAGGCAGCCACAGATGGCCTCCAAGGATACAGCTGTGACAAAACTGCTCCTCAGTCAGCAAGGGTTACACATCTATTACAAATCTAAGCTGGACAGAGTTTATCCCTGCCTGTCCCTAATTCCATTTACCTCCCAAACTCTCAGTCAGTACGTACCAAGTAGCAAATTCCATTTTTAGTTCTCTTTTTCCTCTTTAATCTTGTTGGTCATTTAATACTTCAGTCCACTGCCCCTTCCAAGGTTTCATTTTGCTCCTGTGATTCCCCTGGTGCAGCAGCTTCATCTTAAGGCAGGAGCTACTCAAGCTAAATGCCAGCCTTCAATGTTTTGAATTTAGATACTTTTTGAGGTGCTTGCTCTTAGACAGCATTATCTGGCTGTACTGCTTGATTAGCTATGCTCTTTCTGAGTGGTATATTTACTCCCAGGAGAACTTTATCATTCATCATACTTATGTTCATTTCACTCTTATCCCAATCACGCCAGCTTTCATGTAAAATGTAAAAAAAAAAAAAAAAAAATTAAAAAAAAAAGATAGAAAAAGTAAACAAGATCAAAACCTGTTTAGTACACCTTTAGTATCACCCTTAATGTGCACACACACACTTCAGCCACAAACAAGTGTTGTGTAGCTTCTTTATGCTTGGCTTTTTCATTTTCTCCATCAGAGTTAACTGAATGTAAATACTAGGCAATGCTGTGAGAAAATATAAAGCAGTATAGAAATCTGCATAACACTAGAGAGCCAAGAGGAACAATGGAAATCCAGGGCCACCATCTGGTCCAACACAAGGCTCCATTTCAAAAGGTATCTCTTGGAGAATCCTGTTACTGAAGCACAATGTGATTTTGGATCACGGTCATTCTGCCAGCCCTGTGGCAGGGTCAGATCTCTGGAATGTAATCTAACTCAGACAGACATCTTCTTTTAGTCTTTTGTCTTACAGGAACAATTGACACCATCTGTTTTCACAAGTGCTTCAGCAGGCCTTCCATGGGTGGTGTGGTCCTCAAGGGTGCAGCTGGAAGGCAGAGGAGATAAATTTGTTCTGTGTTACAGGACACAGGAAACACAAAGCTACCTAAGCATCACAGAAGACAATTGAGGAGAGGCACCTCTTCATATCAATCAGTATTTTAGAGGGTAGTTGAAAAAGCAATCATATTAATTTCTCAGAAAATTCCTTGACAAAAAGAAAACCATGTCCTTAATGCCTAAAGGAAGACCCTCTTTCCTTCTGCTGAGTTCCTAAGAGAAAATTTTAATTTTGATTTTGAAACTTCCCACTGAGTAAATTCTCAGCTTTACTTGTTATTTAAAACCTGAGCTTTCCAGGCTCATTTTCTTGTTCTCCAGGCTGTCAGGTTGTTGCAACACTGAAATAAGGAAATAGCATTCATTTACAACTATCTAATTATGTAAGGCATCCGGTTATATTTCAGATTTCTGACTTATCAGAAGTTGCCTCAACACAAACTCTGTATCTCATTATCTGAAATAATGTTGTGAATAAGTGTTTATATATATATATATACATATATATATAAGGAAAAGAGAACAACTGCTCAACAAATGAAAGAGATGGGTACAAAATATTTATCTGAGGGCTTTGAAATGCAAAGGGGGAAAATAATCTAAGTTGATTGGTAAAAATAGAAGGACAGCCTTGTGCATAGGCAAATTAACAGAACTCATTAAACAGGAGTTTTTGTGGTTGCAAAATCACTGTAATGTTCTGGAAATCATTGGCAAAGCAATGCTTCAGAACTTGGATAAATCATTTACCCTTTTTTGGTTAATTTCAGCTGTTTCAAAAGCTGTTGAAGAATTTCATCAGAATAAGAATTTGAAAAGCAGTTAGGACAAGAGTCACAAAGTTTACTCTTCAAAGGACCACTGTTACACAAAAGGACAGCAAATAGGTTATTAGGCCTATTTCATGGGCCCCAAAATTACGTTCCATATCAAAGGGCAGAAATTATCACAATTCCATGCAAAATCCGTCACAGTGCGTACACCAGTCATACCCCTCCGAGTCAGTGGAAAATCAGAACTAATATCTCTACTAAGATATGATCTGCACTATGGAAGAAATTGTATTTTCATCCTACTTCATCATCCCCTCTGTCTTGCCTTTAGACGTTGTCGTATCCTCTCCAATCAGCTGCTCTCCAAAGTTCTCTTGGCTCGTTTATTTTCCATCCTCCCAACCTTTCTCCCAGCCCTGAGGTCTACCCCAGAGCACCCAGGAGTGAATAAAACAGGAGGGAACAACTCGAGAACCCCACCAACAGTGGCAATTTCACCTTCAGCCCCAGAGGTTTCTTGAACTTGGATGTTGAGGCTGAGCCAGGAATCCGAGGAAGTGGCTGCTGGGTGAACCAGGTGAAGATGGTGAGTGGGAATCATCCTCACAACACCTTCCAAAGGCTCTCACTGGCTTCCCAGCCTGCTACTGGGCAAAAAACCACCAAAATGTGGATCTTGAGCCACACAGGGAAGTTACTTGGAAATAAAAGCACCTATAACTATTTACACCAGCTGAAATATTTTTATATTTAAATATTACACAGGGTTTTTTTTAGAGCAGGCTCAGATTTTCAAGTTCAGATTTTGATATATATATATTAATTACCTAATCTCTCATATGCTATTATTTATCTTAAAAATGATCAAGTGCTTTTACTCTACATTTTTCACAGTTATTTTTATGCAGGCACAGTATTTTTTGCCACATAGAACACATTACGTATTTTAATATTTCCATGCATAAACCAGACTATAATAGAAAATACTGCAACAAGATCACAAACTTCTACCTGGTTTGGAAAAAAAAAAATAAAGAAAATGGATATTTCTGCTCTCAGAAATATTTATCCTAAAAACATTCAAATCACTGCAGGTACAAAAAAAGAGTTGGTCTTAAATTTAAAAAATAAATGTTTTCAAGTACTTCTAATTAGAAAAAAAAACCCCTTTGGTCTCTGATTACTTAAACTTTTTCAATGCTGAGACATAAAATCTAGCTCAAGAACATACATGATCATGTCAATAAAATGAGAGGAGGACTGTGGGTTACACAAAAATGAATATTAAAGGTGAACCTACCATGCAAAATTCAGTGCATCTGGTCTTGTTCATATTCACAATCAGTGCTCTCAATTATTTAGATCTATAATTTTGTTCTGTCTGTTATGATATAAGCAAATAATCCTCACCCAGCTACAGACTTCCAGCACATTCTTGCAACACAGCACAAGTGGCCAAGGCTTAAAGGTTAAATGAGATCAATATGAGCCAAACATGGAAATAAATCTGAAAACATGGCTCAGAGGGATGTACCCCACAAGGGCTTATTTCCAAATTCAGTTTCCAAAATCAGTCCAATAGCTTGGCTGCCATTGCAGTGGCTGCATCAAACATTTTAAAATGTATTTTTGACTGATTAGCCTCCTCAATAAAAGCAGTAGCAGAGGAGAGAACTAAACCTGAATGTCCAAAAGGCTGCACCTTACTTTCCTCCCAAATTAGGAAACTTGGCTTTTCCCTGGTCTGCCTCTGGTATTTACTAATGATTCGAACAAAAAAATTGATGGAAGTAGTTAAATTTGACAATGGTTCAATTTAAAATGATTTTTAGTTGTGGGACATTTCAGTTCTGACTCTGAAGGGAAAGCAAAGAGGAGATGAAGCCTGGCAAGCTTAGGGTTGCTGGCCAAAACGAATCTAGGATCACACACTGATGGTCCAGGAATGAGGTCCTTGGACAATGGATGTTACTGAAACCTCTGGGGAGGATGCTGGAGAATTGATTTGAATGCCATAATGAGTATATCTGCCCAGTTCCCTCAGCAGTTAAAAATAAAGTTAAAAGAAAGAGCAATCAGGAATCCTTAATGATAATATAAGGCAATGACTTATATTCAGTTTTGGTTTTGTCAGAGATTTGGGAGAAAAAAAATAGAGCAGGACAAACTATGTTAGCTGAACATGAAGTGAATCCTCCATTTAAACATTATTTTACTTTTCCTCAGATGCAGTTCTTGCTCAAAATTATTTTCCAATAATTCTGGCAAATTTTGGTCTCTGAATTAGTCACAATGAGTATGTGATGTGCACTCAAAATAGATGTTGGAGAACTCAGGGATCAGACCTCTGCTGAAAATTTTCATGTCACCAACTTTATAATTTGCTATTCAAAAATATTTTCTATTATATACCCATATTTTGTTTCTTCCTTGAAATTCCTGGTCAAAAAATGAACAGAATCACAAAAATATTTATTGAATGGTAGTGCAGACAGAGTGAAGTTTAAAAACACCAGATTAAAAATTATATAAGTAAGCTATCCAAAATTGACAGAATTACAATGCATTCATTGGTCTCTTCACTCTCCCTCCTCCCCTCAGTACTTGGAAGGACTTTTAGGACCACTTTGAGTTTAACAGGGAACAAAATGAATCAGATATAAAATACTGCTTTGCAGTCAGACTCAGCTGTGGGGAAGTTACTGGCACAAGAACCAAGTGTTGCATTTAAAACAACTTTTCATAATTTTACACTTGTTAATAGTGCACTCGGAGCTTTTTGCAAATTTTCTTCACTCTCTTTGTAAGGCCTTAGTTCTGCATTAAGTTCACATGGGCCTAATAGAGTCAGCAAGAATTCTGGAGGCTAAACTGTTCAGATGAGGTCATTTGCTCAGGATGTTTCAAATTTTGGAAGAACAAATGTTCCTATGAGATGATTCCATTATGAAGGTCAAAAGGCTTGTGAGAAGGACAATAGGAAGCACCTTTCCTTCTCTGTCCATAAAACACCTCACAAAAATTGGGAAATAATATGAAGGAAGCCAAGGCAGGAAAAAAAAAAAAAAATTATCAGAAGAACTTGTCTTCCCTTTAATTTCTATGCTCACCTCTTATGCTTACTTTGTAACACAGCTGCAAATTATCAAGGGAAAGACTTAATCTTCCTAAATTGATTTGGAATTCCTGTCATATTAAAAAAGTACACAAGTCTGTAAGGGAGGGAATATATGGAACAGCAAGGGTTGCAAGTCATGGGAAGTGGGATCCCTGTGTAAACTGTGCTTTTCAGAGAAGGACACAAAGCTCATTTTGATTTTGTGAATCATTTCAGTTAAAAACCGAATACAATCAGCTCACACATCTAAGCACTATCTACAAAGGGAAAAAGAGAACATTTTTTTGTCCAGGTTAATAAATTAATCAATTTATGCATTACTTATATGCACAGAAAAGAGGTGGAAAGAATTCTATTTTCTCCTGAATGATCAAAGTGTTGGCCAATGTTATGGCTGGAGGCCAAACTAGACTGAAGATGGTTTGCTCCATTATACCTTCTGCTGTATTCTTATCTTGGAATGACAGCAATTTCTCTATGTATTTTTAACTGTATTCTTCTATTATGGAAATAAATGGTTATTTAAATGCCATCAGTTTCAAATCGCTCCGCTGGAAAATACAGCAGGGAAAAGTATCAAAGACAAAGAACTTTTAAATAAATCTCATCTTCCCACCTGCCATATGAACCAATTTCTATGCCAGGTGGCAGATGTTCATGATGGTGCTTAAAATAAGTTAAAATTAAATGGATCTCAAAATTTAATTGTTTTTTAGTGTAAAGGGCTCTCAATTAAAGGATATTTTATTTTATTTTGTTGGTTAGATATCCTATCAGAAGTGACCTGAAAACCCAGAGCTCTTTAACATAAAGGAAATGATAAAGAGATGAGAATCTCAAACATTAAAAGAGAATCTTCTTTACTCAGTGTAATTTAATATGTAATATCTCATAATCAGACTGTCATGACAGAGAACTCTTCATCCTTTCAATATAACACTTAGCACATGTGGAATTTTCTTGATGCATGACATTTTATATAGGATATAGATCAGACATGTTTTCCTCAGATTTTCTGCAATAAATATATTAGCAGTAGAACACCACATTCAAAAATGTCTTTTGAAAATTGAGTATGTATCTGATTATCAATTTTTCAAGTGATCTTATAGTTTATAAAATACTTAAGTCCTCTTCTAATTAGTATAATTCCTTATCTGAAGAACTGTAATTTGCACGAGACAGCTTTCACTGAACATTTCTCTCGCTGATGTTCCCAATATAAAGATAAGCTATGTCATTATTTTAGGGCATCTTGGAGTTGTAAACATGTTGCTTTACTTGAAAGTGACCATTCAGATTTAGCCTTTTATGAATCAATGCCACATCACACATTGTTCTGTGTCTGCTCTGCGTCAGAAGGCAGTATAGAAATTATATGTAGGTAGCATATACTTTTGTTCCACATGATTTCCCCAGGACAGCAACACTGCCTCAGCTGAAGAAATGACAAAGGATTTTCTCATTCCTTGATTCATCCTCTACATGAGTTTCATAAAGTAGTTGAGTAAGAACTTCGCATAAACCATGCCAATTGAACTGCTGAATGAGAGAGGAAATCCAAGAGCTGGATCACGGCACACATGCACTACTTTCAACCCTTGAGAAACCAAGATCTAGGGGAAAAAAACATTTATCTTTTCAGTGAGATGTGGCAGAAAACCCAGAGAAAATAAATTCCTGAGAAGGCAACAAAAATATCATGGAGTACTTTTACACCCATGGGACAGACCACATATTTGTTTCTGTTGTTGCAGCTACAAAGAACTGGTTGAACTGTCCTACACTAAAAACCAGCTCATAAGAAAATTCATTTTCCTAGAAAAGGGCTGTGTATGCTCCTCACTGTGGGATGCCTGCAGCCTTCAGGGGGCCTGGTCTTACTGATCCAAAGGATATGTCCCAGACTACAAAAGCTGATCTACTGCTAAATTTTAAGGAATGACCCTTTATTCCAAACATAGTTGTGACAGGTCTGCATTGATATCTGTCAGGCATTTTGACAGTGTAGTGATTATGAGACCACAAAATCTGTGGTCCTGAGGTGCTGAAATGATAGTTTGTGTTCTACAAGTGTTATTGAAGCCAAAGATTTTGTGTTTAAACCAGGTCCAGTATACTGCCAGTGGCTGTCATTCCCTCATGAGTGAGTTGCCAGGATAACCGGGATGGTATGGAATCAACAGTATCTCATGTAGTAGAAATGTATAAATATAAACAATTTATGAATGCAAAATGGATCTTCTACTAGCATTCTGATGAATACAAAGGCAGCACTTTCCCAAAACCAAGTTTGCTCAATTAAATCGACTCAATCAGCACAATACCACTGCCAAACGAGTCAACAAATACTGGTTCATTGCTCATTTAAAACCTAGCTTGGAGGGAAAGAAGGCAGGCTGTACTGCAGAAAGGACTTCAAGGCACTACAATAAAGCAGATTTTGAGAAGAGTTTAAAGTCAGGACAAGGCAGTAGATAAAGAAAAAGCAGAGATAAAGCACAAAGGGACATGTGAGACATTTAGTCCAAGATACTTCTGTCTTTCCTGCTTTGAAACTGCTTTGAAGTTTCCATACTTCAAACTGCCTGGTTTGTGTATCCTCTTTTCAAAATTTTGAGTCACTTTTGAGTCACAGGAAACAATTTTTTCACACAATCCAGATAGGTCCATCCATCTCACTCTCACCCCTCCTGTGTTGTTCCTGCTGTCCACACTGGGTAGGAACAACCAACCTTTCCCTGGTCACTGTTCAAATCTCCTCAGCAATGCCACAGAGGTGCAGAAAACTTGGAGGCTCTTTAGGAGGCTGATCACTAAACTCCACTTGGAAGTTCCAAAAATATATAAATTACAAACTCACTATGTGTCTGTGTTCTCGTTTGAGACATGACCTTTTGTGTGAAACCCACTAATAGTGAACATATGTCACAGTAGAAAACTCTTTGGCACCAAGTTATTTCAGTGCATCACAGTTAACAAATTGTAATTCCAGCTCCATCGTTCCTCTGTTCATAATAAAGCAAATCTGTCACAGAAAAAAAATAATCTTTCTTTCCCATAAAAAGACTCATCGTTAAAGCATACAAGATTATCATTATGCAAGCTCATTAGGCGTACACAAGCTATACTTTTCCCTGTACAACTGAAATTCATTGATAAAACAATGAAGTGAACTAACACCCCTCCTAAATAAAGTTTCACCAGTAGCACTGTATGTTAATGGAGCTATTTCATTGTTAATGTGACTGACTGCTTATTGATTCTTGCAGTAATCCAGCAAGGGCTTCAGAGTACAATTTAGTTTGGAGAGC